AGAAGTTTGTAGAGGACTGTTACCTGTGAGACCTCACAACGGAGCAGGGGAAGGTGTCTTTCCCCTGAGAAGGACAGCAGCAGAAACCATGTGATAAGCTGACCATAACCCCCATTCCTGTCTCCTGGTGTCTCTGGTGGGGGCAAGATAGAGAATTGAGAATAAAATAAAGGCCAGGAAGAAGGAAGGGGTGGGGAAATGTGATTTTTAAAGTTTTGTTTCACTTCTCAATGTCTTAGTCCAATATCAAGTAATAATCAATTAATTTCTCCAAGTTGAGTTTGTTTTGCTTGTGATGGTAACCAGCAAGTGATCTCTCCCTGGCCTTATCTCAGCACATGACTTTTCACTATATTTTTTCCTCCCTGTATAGTTGAGGAGGAGAGTAATAGAGTGGCTTTGGTGGGCACCTGACATCCAGCCAGGGCCAAGCCACCACAATAGTTTATTCCTTTAAATGTCTCAGAAGTGGAATAGTCTTTTGCTGAAGATGTCTTTTAACAATAGGGAAGAACCGTGATTTGTTCCTTAAGCACACCCACAGATTGCAGGATGAACAGGTGAAATTAAACTTCTTGAAGCAGTCTGTATTCACAATTTTTACACTATTATAAACCAGGAGTAAGTCCACAAAACTTGATGTAAGCATCACCATAAATACAGGGAAATACATCCCGGTGTTCTGAGGGGTTACAAGTGACTAGTCAAAAATAACAACTGTGCTTACTTGAAGTGTAAAGCTAAGAAATGGCTTCACTGGAGTAATTACCTTTAAATCAAACCTTTATTTTGAAGTTCTCACAATCAGCTCACCAAGAGGAACATGTTTGTTAGGGAGTGTTACCTGTAATCATCTCAAACAAATGGCAGCAAGAATTCCTTTTATTATGTTACAAAAATTTGTGTGGATTTTTTGCTAAAAAGCCAGCTGTGGAAGATAAATCTTTTTTATTTAAGGTAAGAACAGGGAAAACATAAGCAGAAACCATGAGAGTATCTCAGATGCTCTTCTGTGGAGCTATGGGAACTTTGAGGAGGGAGAACACAATTCACATGCCAAACCAACAACCTGCAGCCAGTGATGCTGCTACCTGGTTGCTCCTTTCAGCACACATTTCCTGACATAGAACACCATACCTGGGACCTTTTCTTCTCCCCCATTTTATTTTTTTCCCTGGATATGCTGGCCCCTAATCCAGCAGGAAGAATGTGAGGGATAAAAGTAGTGAGAGGGAAGTGAGAAGAAAAGGCATTTCTCTTCCTCCTTCATGATGAAGAACAGCAACTGCCTGCAGCATGAGATGGTACAGATGTGGGAGAAAAATGTTTTTGTGTTGACCTTCACCTCCTGTGTAGCTCTTTCATTTCCAGAGTACTTCCCTACCCTTCCTAACAGCGTAAGCCTATGCTCTATATGCCAGCAGACATTTTGTTAGCAGGGGTGCTGTGCACACTCCTTCCTCCCCTGTGGCCTGATCCTTTGTGTCCTTTCTCACTGTCATACCTATCACCTCGTGATCTCAAACACTTGCACCCATTTTTCCAAGGGGACGGTGGCATCTGACTATGCCTGAGGTGTGTTGTCTCCCTCTCTCCAGTTTTAAGTGTGTGAGGTAGCTGAATAGTCAGAGGTACTTTGGGCAGACTTGACTTGGAAATGTAATTTTAATCTCAGCCACGAGGGGACCTTCATAGTTCGTTGTCTCTCAGGTTCGTCTGATCCATACACTTAGATCAGTTACAGTTTTTCTTCTTCTTAGGTAAAAAGACATTCCCCCATTTTTCCTTTTTTTAATATGGCTTTCATTTATTATGTGACCAGACTCTATATCAAAAATATATAAATGTTTTGCATAGAGAAATTTGGCAAATAGCCTACAAAAATTAATGCAACAATTGTTTTAAGATCATATGACCTGTGTTTGGAGTCTCATTCTCCTCTTGCATGCAGCAGCTGTGAACTTGCATAATTTGATCTGGTTGTGTTTGTATGACAAAAAGAGGATGTGACTGTAACTAACACACACTAACTTGCTCACTTTGTCTAATGAGCAGCAAAGACAGGACAACTAAAACACACGCCCAGGGTCCCCAGTCCCTTTGGAGCTGGTGATGAGCCACTGAGGCTCATCCTGCTGTCCCTGCTGCCGCTCCTCTGCCAGCTCCACCGGGCTGGCCATGCCACCACTTGCTCTGCTCCCACCCCCTCTGAGAAGAGAAGCATCATCCCCTGGCACAGCTGCTCCTGACACCACTCCTGAGAGGCAGGCAGCCCACCCACTTCTTCCCCCCTTGGCTTCCCAGGAAGAGATGTGCTTTTCATCTCAGCCATGGAGGGGAACCTCTGCCTCAGGCACGAATGGCTGTGGGCGAGTTGGGATCTCCCCTTAGACACAGCCAGCACTTTTGCCATGTGCCTTTCTTCCAGTTCTGGAAAAAGGGCCTTTCTGTATAAAACCACGCCCAACTCTTTTTCTCCCCAGCTATATCCTGAAAGAGTTATGGTAATTACTAATAAATGCTTGTGTTTGTTGCATCCAAGAGAGGCTTGAGAATTGCAGCTCTCAAGTACTTCTCAGGCATTCTGAGGTCATGCTTAGCATGGAATTGAAGAAGGTGGCATTTCTCAGCTGTCATGCTCTAAGGTCTCTGAGAAATCTCAGGTGGGCAGTGAAAAATTATTTGTGTACTACACAGGCCAAGGTAAACTCAAGGCTCCTCTCTAGATCATATTTAAACTGTAGTCTTCACAAAACCTTTCTAATCTACTTAGAAATGTCCGTCGCATCTTTGCCTCTGTATCGTCAAGGCTTAGAAACCCTATGGGAACGCAAACTGAAAGGAAGTAGAAATAAGCAATATATTAATGATAACAATGTTTAGAAAAGGATTTCATGGGAATGAAATAGGCTTTTATTTTTGCCAATATAAATAAAAGCAGAAAGCTGGTTTTGTAGCAGGCGTGTGTGAAATGTGAAACCCTGGCAGTGCGCAGCAGTATCGATATGAGCCAGAATCACTGCAATAAGCAAAACGCTTCACCCCTGGAGGTGGGAACATGATCTGGCGGTTGCAGTAGCACAGAGCAAATTTGAAGCTCCCTGTTCCTGCCCCTAACTATATGTCTGTAGTCAACTCATGTACAGTCTATCAGTTCAGCCATCTGTACAACAGGGACATATTTATCTGTATCTTATCAGAGCCAACTCTTGGCAAGCATCATCAGTGGACGCAGGCAGCTCTGTCCTGTCAGGAATGCAGGATTTCACAAGCGAAAAGTACAAGTCACCAGCACTTTGTCAGGACACAGAGATTCAGACACTACCATTCCATTTGTTAAAACAGCTGTACACTTACAAGGAAATGTGGAGATACTGACAGAAGAATAAAGAGATTCAAAGGGTAGCTTTGAAAGATTTTGAGTTAAATCTTATGTAAACTTCAGAGCCCAGTAAGTCTCTAGAGCAGATGTGCTATAAATGAAGTCAATTAAACCTATCTAACCTTATCCAAGCAATCATCACTAATCAATATTATAAAAGCACAATTTTTATACATGTATTTATTAAGATTACAATGTGTGTTTTTGTTCCCATCTTCATTAGTTGAAAGTAAAATCTTTGAAATTATATTTTATAACTGATCTGAGTTGGTAGTCCCAGAACCGTTGCCAAGGTTAAGGTTTCCTAAATAAGGTTTCCTCATCATAGACCACACTTAATCTTGTAATTGCAGAATCAGCAGACAGAGCAACGGCTAAAAGAGACTGGAAACTGAAATGTCCTTCCACATGCAGCAGGGCTCTCCTGAAAGGCTCCTGTTTGCCCTGTGAAAGCTTACACATAACCCCTCTCCTGTGAGTAAATATGTTTTTCCAGCTTTCTTATCTACAGCCAGAAGCTGCCACAGTAACTCATAAAAGAGTTACATAGGTCCAGCTTGTGTGTGTGTATAATCTTGAATACCCATTTAAAACTACCCTCTGCATTTTCTGCTCTATCTATAAATTTATTACTGTATTGTTATAAAACCATCAATTGTAAAATCATGCTTTTGATTGAACTGTTATGACTTTAGGTATATATTAGGTCTAACCAATTTTCATGTTTTGAGACTGCATTTCTGCTACATGAAATTTGAAACTAATTGCAAAATTAATAATAAAAGCGGTGACTACCCTCTTTCAGAAAAAATACGAATCCATTACATGTTCCTGCCATGAAGGAACACAGTCCTACAGGTGCTTTGGTGTTCTCACTGCCTGTTGGAGAAAAGTTGCACTGCCAACTGTTTTACTGTGCACTTTACTGGTTGTGTTTTCACATAATTTGGTGGCAGCTGTCAGCCCTAACTCCCCCATCCCATACACCTTGGGAGAACTCCCACAACGGCTTCTACGCAAAACTAAGTCCACCACAAGGATTGGCCATTGCTTTTCATAAGCTAAAAATCCAGACTGTCCAAATACTTGTCTAGGCACCACCTAGTTTCAGAAAAGTGTGCAAAGATGACAGATTATTTATGAAGTTTCCCAGCTGCCTTTCTGTCTGCTCCTGAGCATTCACAAGCTGTGGGCCCTGCGAGAAGCACAGCGAGCCACCTCAGGAGAAGGCACGTTGTGTGGTGCCTTTTGGAACAGGCTTTTTCAAAGGTAACCTGCCAGATCAGGCTGTAAAATAATCAACTGCAGCCAATAATCTGACCGAACCACAAGACAAGTTAACAAGGCATTTATAGCATCACCGGAGGGAGGAGTCCCAGCCGTGGCCCGGACTGGGACGGCGTTGAGTGTGGAGCTCCCAACCAGGCAAGAGAGAGCAGATGGTGAGAGACAGATGGGAGAGTACAAGGAAACAATGAGAAAAATGAGCAAAAACTCAGCTGAAGACTTTAGCATTTGGTTCCAAAATTATTAATTTTAGCAGTCATTTCAGCTGATGTAACCCTACGGTAGAACGCCTTTCCCGTTCCAAAGGTCCTAATAGCTACAATTACAACACATGGCGCAGCCCAGCACGGGTTACATTTTAGGTAAAGAGTGGGAGTGAAGCAGGCAAGAAGTACCAAGGCAGGGGGTGTCAAACGCTGAAATTCGTTCGTAAAGGGGGCGGGGGTATCGCAGCAACCGGCGGCTTAAGGGAACCTGATTGAGCACTGCTCCGTAGGCAAGGCGCTGACTGACAGTCAGTTCCCGGGGGGCCGGCGCTGCCCCAGGCCCCTGTCCCACGCCGCTCGCAGCCCGCCGGGGGAGCGCCCGCAGNTGCCGACCCCCGAACGGGGTTCTGCCGCCCGTCATCCCCCGGCTCACCGTCACCGCCGAGGAGAGCGAGGAGGCGCAGGGCAGCCCCCAGGCGCGGCCGGCGCGGCCGGAGCGCGGCGGGCTGAGGACGGGCAGCTCGCTGCACCTGCAGTCCCGCAGGCTGTCCAACTCCTCGGTCTCCTCCACCGGCTCCTCGTCCCTCCTGGAGGACTCGGAGGACGACGTGCTGAGCGACACGGAGTGTAGGAGCCAGGGCATCGTGCACTTGGAGCACGGCGAGGACACGAGCCAGGTAGGGACGCGGGGTGAGAGGCTCGACCGGGACGCGCTGCCCTCTCCCCGGGCCAGCCTGGCCGGGCAGCTGGGCGCCTCCCTGGCTCCTCAGGGGCCACCAGATGCTCCCGCTTGGAGTGAGGTTTCCGTGACCCAACTCCACGCAAACTCCGGGAAACTCCTGTCCTGGGCCGGCAGCAGTGCGCTGCGGTGCACGGGCTGCTGCGCCTGTTGGAAAGGCGCTTCTGCACGTGGGCTGCTAAAAAGCCCGGCCAGGTGTGCGCTGTTTCTTTCTGCTGTGGAATTGTACTTTATGTCCCAAGAATATGAGGAGATGTTTTTTGATCATAAGTGGGTTGTTTTTTGTTTTTTTTTTCCAGTCTCCTGTGTCAGATGCTCAAAATAAAATTTTTCCAGGCATTTCCCAGCAGGTATTTTTTGTCTCTTTCAGTCCTGGAGTCTGTGGTTGTCAATTTTTGAGCCGCTTCTTGCTGTGAGCATGACAGGAGATGGGGAGGAGCTTGGAATGGATAGAATGCATGCTTTTGTCCATTCTGGCAGCAACACATTCTTCTCAGTAAATCCCCTCTGTAATTTGCAGCTTTCATCCATGAAGTGCACTTTTGAAGGCATATACTTAGTTGCTTTTTCATGATCTTTGATGTATATTTGCCTGACTCCATACAGTGTGCTTCTCAGGCTTTTGTACCTGAAAAATGTAGCTTTAGTGAATTCCTCCTCCCACCTTCATTGACACCACTGCTTAAGTTGTTGCTCCACTGCCAACTCATTGGTGCTGAATTGTTTTCAAGCAGAACATATGCTTTGATAAAAAAGGTATAAAAAAGAAGTAATGCAACTTGTAGGTGATACCTCCAGCTGCACTTTTCTCATGGTAATTGTGGGTTTGCTACTTTAAAGGACACATAGTACAAGAACTATGCTATGCACGATACTGGTTTTCTTTGCATCAACTTGTGGCCTGATTTTGGAAGAGAAAAAAACAAAAGGGTTTTGTACTTTGTCATTTTGAGTATCAAGAGACCTGTAATAATAATAATAATAATAATACTTAGTTTGTGCTTTTGATTCTGAGATAGAATCTGGTTTGCAGGGGAAAAAATTACTGTTGCTTTCTTTTATAAACACATGCTATACGAATTTGTGAAAGTATCAGACGAACAGAAATTAAAGATAATAAAGGGCCATAGGATCATTTGACTCAATATCCTTGTTCTGGCAGTATGTGTGGTTAATGGGAGCAAGAATTAAGTGATAACGCTTCAGCAGTAAGAGAACTCTGGGATGGCATTGTGGCAGCTGGTTAAACTGTGTGAATATAGACTGAAGCAAAATTGATTCTGTAGATGAGAAGCTGTGCTACCTCAAAGGTTATGCTTCTGCATCTCCTAAATCATTGGTACTAGATGCAATATTGAGACCCAAGTGATTGGGAGTGTATCCTTCCCTGTTGTCTGACATGCATTATCATGTGAGTGGTACTATCTTTTAGGAAGCCTTTATATCACCTTTTAATTACAAGAAAATAAAATATTAAAAGAAGATCTCTAACATTGATTTATAGACAAACTAAAAGTACCCATATTATAAATTAAACTCTGAGAGACTGTTCTGTTCATTTAGGTGTGCGGGGAAAATGAGAACTTTGATAGTATTATAATAACTCAGTTCCTGGAAAAGTTTTTGCAGTTTTCCAAAGTTTAGTGCAGCTGCAGGACTGTTTAATGCCTCCTCGGTAAAGTAAGTATTCCCTCAACATAGGTAAAATACTTGATGTTTTAAAAGGCTGAGTTACATTTCCATACCTGCTGTGTAGGGGAATATGGGGAAAACTGTGCACCAGGAACTGATTTACTTTCTCTCATTATCCCTTCTGTGGCAAGTTGTGAAACCAGAGCAGGGACTGGTACCTAGGACTCTAAACCAGCAGAACTTCGTGACATTACCTAATAAATGGGCTCACCTGCTCAGTGACTGCTTACATGGTTCATCCTTCCCTAACTTGCCGCATTACCCACCAAGAGCTGAAATCCCAGGAATGTGCTGTTTCTCCTGCGGTCAGGTTCACTGCCCTTCATCTCAGGTGGCCTTACTGTTTTCTCACCAATACCCAGAGGCATCCAAGACGGTTCTGGTGATTGATGTCTTTTGGTATTGGACAATGCTGTCCGGTCTTGTTTCTTCAGCAAAGCAGTGACTTCATACCATGCCAAAGTCGGAATCTATGCTTTGAACCTCTGTGGGTTCAGCTTTACAGGACGTGTCCCTTCAGATCGTAAATCTTGAGCCAGGATGAATGTTTGTTTTAGAATGGAAGGCTTTGAGTTCAAGGCACGCACATGCAAGTGAAAAGAACTACAAATTTTAGGATAACCTGTGGAATGGTTTTATATTTTTAAGATTTTATTTAGAGGCAGTCTGGAACATTTTGTTCATATTTATTGTTTTCAGTGTATTTTAATAGGCGAAGGCATGTTCTAAGAGCGGAAAATAAAGCATAGAGACTTTTCTGAAGGAAATTCAAATCAGAGGTGTACCAAAATTACTGCTTCCCAATTCATAGGAAATTTTGACATTTTAAAACCTCTCTTGTATTGGGGAACTCCCTGAGACTTTTCTCAGGAAATATGAGAAGTTAATTTGGAGCCTGGCACCTTATGATTAAGCTCAGACCAGTGCTCAGAGAACTGCTGGGTTGTCAAGCCTACCAGGCTCCCCAATGCCTACCAGGGACCTTGGAAATTTGCCCAGGTCCTCAACTGTGGGAGTAGAAGTTCTGATAATATTCCTGTTATCAGAGCTTCAAGGCTTCCATCTGGAGACCCAGGAACTTGAGACCTAAGCTGAAGAAGGCCCTCCTAGGCCTCTCTACTGTTGACCTAGAGATCAAGACCCAGTTGAGTCTGAAATATTCTGGGCTCTCAAGCTGCCTGTGCAGGACTGTGTGTGAGATGGGAAGCTCAGGAGGCTCTGTGTCCAGGACTTGCTGCCCTGGAGTTCTTAGGCCTTAAATCTCAGGCTGGTATGCTTGGGAGTGCTGTCTCTGTATACCTTGGAGGACAGCTCTCCTTGGTAGTTCACTTGGCAAACAGCTTTCCAAGAGGATGAGTGATTCAGTTAAGTATTTCGCAGAGCATTTGGGGTTGGATGGATTGACACATCATGACGATGATTTTTGTTTCTTCTTGAGAACAGTACGTGGGCATGTCCCTGGAGTGTTAGGGCCCGTGTGGGGGCAGTGAATACCTTGGGGCCGATGGCTGATGATGACAGTGTGATGGAGCCAGCCTGGCTCCGCTGGGACGAAGTGCTGTTCACTGGGACAAAGTGCTATTTGCATCTGGGCAGGCCCACCTTTGAGAGAAGCTCAGTGGGTGGTGTTCCAGTTTCTCTGCATAAGTTATTCATGCCATTTTTCAGTAATTAACAGAGGCTTTGAAATTGGGCTGTCCTGACTTTCCTGAAGGAAGACCCTTCCAGCAATGGAGGGCTGAAAGTATGAGAGAAGCCTATTCTGCTGCTGTCCTGTTTGTTCAGCTTGGGGTTCAGTGAAAACCGATTGTGCAAAGCTGTGCTAATGGCAACTGCATAAGGCCATATTTGGAGCTTTGCAACTCTTGGCAGTTAACTTAAGAAATATTGGTTATTTTTTAAATAGCCAATTGACAGAATAGATTTTACCCTATGGCAAAAGCTAACATTCCTACATTTAAATGGGAAGCGTGCTTTTGTAGCCTTGCTTCATGCTGTCTGAGAGGTGTATATACACAGCTGAATCTTGCAGTGAAAACATCAGTGGTGGCTTTATAGTAATGGAGAGGATACATGAGTTACATATTTTTGTCTTCATTCTGTGAGTGAGCAGTTTTGAGAAGTACGAAGTCTGGTTAGCACCTTCTTTGTTGGGACAGAGACTTTAAAGAGTGGTTTTCACGGAGAATAAACACCATGATAATGTACAGCAGCCTCTTGTCCTCTTTATAGGAGAATGCTATTTACTAGATAGAAGCATGCCAAATAAATCTACTCATTTTCATAACTGTGACCTGTCATTCCAAATTTCTGGAACCGTAACCATGAGAACAGCTGACAGTTTGCTACAGAAAAAGCAGTTCAGTTCTTGCCTGCAATGATACCAGTCGAGAAACTTTGGGGGATATTCTTTAGGGAAGTGCGTTCGGTTTGGTTTCAATGATCTTCTTGATGTTATTTTTCATAGCATCAAGTATCTTAAAAATGGGCAAGTGTATAGAAAAGCACACACACTTAATAGCTAACTAACTAAATAAATTAATAAATACAGAATGAAAGTTTCAACTACTTTGGCTCAGGGGTGGATTACATAAGCTAATGCAGTAGAATAAAATTGTTATTTTTAAATAAAGAATAGGAATGACGGGATGACATAAGTAAGACTGTTAATGGGATTTTAGCCTACTCTCCAAAGGAAAGAAAGCTTGTGTAATCACTCTATCAATTCAATTTCAACTGCTTTAGTAGGTTTCAGCCAAATTTGGCAGTGGCACAGACATCTCAAAGTTTCTTCAAGAGCTCTTTAAAGTTTCACGAAGGTCAGACTGGGTGGAAGAGGAAACCAAAATAAGTCATACTTTTTCTTCTCGGGGGGAGAAGGTCCTAGGGGATATTAACAGCTGTCTTCTGTTTGGCTTGTTGACTGGCAAATTGGCGTATTGGCTAGTCCATAGGTGCTGCCATGCTGGATCCTGCATGCAGCAGGTAGTGTCTCCTCTCCTGAGGCTAATTAGGAGAAAGTATGGGAGGGATCATACAGTGCTGTGGGGTGGTGAGGTTAGGGAATGTGGAAGGCGCTAGTTGAGGCACAGGGGTGAAAGGGAGAAAATTATGAGGAGGTGTGGAAATGTTAGGGAGGTTGATGGGTTTTTGGAACAAGTTTGTAGAAGACAGTGACAAGCTGTAGATGCTCTGATAAGAGTGCAGGACAGTAGATACCAGTGAAGTAGAAACTAAGCTTCTCTGGTGTTCTGCTCATGAAGCAGCTGCTTTTAATGGAATACATTTCATGCTGCTAAAAACATGCAGATTTATAATGATAGTCCCAAATACTGGAATCTTCCCATTGTATACTGAACAAATTTGAGGTGAACAGCAGTAATGTTCTGTATTTGCACAGCACTTGGAACAAAACTCTGAACTGCGAGCCATCTCTCAGTTTGAGGATGAATTTTTCACCACTGTACATCGCAGTGGTAGAGTATATCAAAACATCAGCAGTATCAGGTCTAATGGTGAATTTTTATTAGTAAATGTGGATTCTTGTCTATAAGGAAATGACTTAGCACTTCTCAAATCAGTTGAGAGAGAGGCAATTAAATGCCTTATCAGATAAGAGTTTCTAATCCTGGATATAGCTGAAATGATGACTTAGAGA